GACTTCATTGCCTTGGATCCCATCTTGAGATAATGGTGCAGGAACAGAGAAAGAAAGGACTGCAAGACCATTCTTGGGGTGCGACTCAGATTTACAAAAGCTTCATGAGGAGAGGGGGGAGGGCAGTCACATATGGATTCCAAAGACTTCCAGACTATGTGCCTTCTCTTGTCGAGAGCATTGCTACTGTGGTGTGCACATTTCAGACAGACTGAGTTGCATCTGTGTAGTTGCTGCGTGAACTTTAGCAGTGGTCTTTAATGTCCTCAGCTCAACACCAGTGAGTCAGTGTGGAGCAGGGGATTAACATTGGACTAAGACTTGGGAGATTCACGTTGAGCTATAAAATTGGGGTGACCCTGGAGCAATCATTCATTCTCTGCCTGGCTTATATGGCTAACTTGATAATAAAACAGGGTAGAAAGGAGCCATTGAGTGTTCCATTTTTGCTTCGGTCTTCTCACAAAAAAAAAGTCACCTTCAACCTCAGCAAGATGGAGTGGATGAGGGATTAGAGGACATCCAACCCCAAATTGGGAAACAAGTCATCCAGGAATACCTGGCTGCTCTAAATGAGTTCAAGTTCCCAGGGCCAGATCAACTACACCCAAGAGTATTGAAGGAACTAGCGGAAGTCATTTTGGAACCATTGGCAACCATCTTTGAGAGTTCTTGGAGAACGGGAGAAGTTGCAGCAGACTGGAGGAGGGTCAATGTGGTCCCAATCTTCAAGAAGGGAAAAAAGGATGACCCAAACAACTACCGTCCAGTCAGCCTCACGTCGATACCAGGCAAGATTCTGGAAAAGATTGTTAAGGAAGTGGTCTGCAAACACTTAGAAACAAATGCGGTCATAGCTAATAGTCAACATGGATTTATCAAAAACAAGTCATGCCAGACTAATCTGATCTCTTTTTTCGATAGAGTTACAAGCTGGGTAGAGGGAATGCTGTGGATGTAGCGTATCTGGATTTCAGTAAGGCCTTCGACAAGGTCCCCCATGACCTTCTGGCAAGTAAACTAGTCCAATGTGGGCTAGGCAAAACTACGGTGAGGTGGATCTGTAATTGGTTAAATGGACGAACCCAGAGGGTGCTCACCAATGCTTCCTCTTCATCCTGGAAAGAAGTGATGAGTGGAGTGCCGCAGGGTTCTGTCCTGGGCCCGGTCCTGTTCAACATCTTTATTAATGACTTAGATGAAGGGTTAGAAGGCAGGATCATCAAGTTTGCAGACGACACCAAATTGGGAGGGATGGCCAATACTCCAGAGGACAGGAGCAGAATTCAAAATGATCTTAACAGCTTAGGGAGATGATTGACTAAAACTAACAAAATGACGTTCAGCAGTGACAAATGCAAGATACTCCACTCTGGCAGAAAAAATGAAATGCAAAGATACAGAATGGAGGATGCCTGGCTTGAGAGCAGTACATGTGAAAAAGATCTTGGAGTCCTCGTGGACAACAAGTTAAACATGAGCCAACAATGTGATGTGGCAGCAAAAAAAGCCAATGGGATTTTGGCCTGCATCAATAGGAGCATAGTGTCTAGATCTAGGGAAGTCATGCTCCCCATGCTCTATTCTGCTTTGGTTAGACCACACCTGGAATATTGTGTCCAATTCTGGGCACCACAATTCAAGAGAGATATTGACAAGCTGGAATGTGTCCAGAGGAGGGCGACAAAATAAAATGATCAAGGGTCTGGAGAACAAGCCCTATGAGGAGCGGCTTAAGGAGCTGGGCATGTTTAGCCTGAAGAAGAAGGCTGAGAGGAGATATGATAGCCATGTATAAATATGTGAGAGGAAGCCACAGGGAGGAGGGAGCAAGCTTGTTTTCTGCTTCCCTGGAGACTAGGACGCGGAACAATGGCTTCGAACTACAAGAGAGGAGATTCCATCTGAACATGAGGAAAAACTTCCTGACTGTGAGAGCCGTTCAGCAGTGGAACTCTCTGCCCCGGAGTGTGGTGGAGGCTCCTTCTTTGGAAGCTTTTAAACAGAGGCTGGATGGCCATCTGTCAGGGGTGATTTGAATGCAATATTCCTGCTTCTTGGCAGGGGGTTGGACTGGATAGCCCATGAGGTCTCTTCCAACTCTTTGATTCTATGATTCTAGGAGGAGACCAGGTTTCAAATCTCCACGTGGCCATGGAAACCCACTGGGTGGCTTGGGCATGTCCCACTCTCTTAAAGGCAAACTCCATCTGAACAATCTCGCCAAGAAAACCCCATGGTAAAGTTGCCATTAGGTTAGAAACAATTTGAAGGAACATGACAACAGCAGTAGCATCTACGGTAGCAACCATTCTGACGTGGAAATGGGATGGAAGGAAGTTGGTGAAGGAAAAATGTGAGATTTGCCCTCCCTGAATAAAACTCCTTTGTTGTCCTCTAGCAATCAGTATGCAGTGGCACACCAGGTCAAAATCTGGAAGAGTTTTCCTTTTAATTTAGCTTTTATTTATTTATTTCTAGACTGCATCTTCTGCTCTTCAGTTGAGAATGCTGTCAAAGCAGTTTATGTATCAGTTAAAAAAAACAACAACAGGAGAAGATAGCCACTGCCCTAAGGGTGTGTTTACAGTACTTATAATCGGAAAAAGCTTGAAACGAAAGGGAAAGGAGATGAGGTGGGGAAACGAAAGGAAGAAAGCTCTGAATAGTGATCAGCAGCTGAGTAGAATCAACATGTTCAGGGGATGCAAAGGTTAGCAACACTGCCTGGGTAGCCAGCCTCAGGTAAGAAGTGAACAGTTTATGGCATATCTGTAGAGCCAGGTATTTCGTGGCTTGTCTGCAGTCAAACTGGTGAAAGAAAACTGGCACATCTGCATTGCTGAGACTCCAAATTTTAAGAAATGACCTTGCACTCTCGTTGACAGAGTTCTATGCATACCTTTGTCTGGACAGGACTATATTCCTGTGTACTTCAAAGAAAGCATGGAAAATGTATCCCCTGCCCACATAAGAATGAGACACATGTTTCCTTATGTGATGATTTTTCAAGATGGTAATGAAGCCAGTAGAAACTAAAAGGGAAGAAAAGACTGAAAGGATAAAGAGAAGGGAAAGATGGTGCAACCTACACATAACTTAAACAATCTTGTTAGCTAGAGAGAGAACTATAGCAAAACTTATGAGGGAAGAAAGGTCGTAAATAAGTAAAACTCACAACTCTAAACAACAGATACATCCTGATAACCCTCCTTGCAGACCAGGGGATGGAAAACACGTACCCTTACAGATTTCCTTTGGATTGCAGCACCCATCAGCTCTACTCAGTCATAGCTAATGATGGGGACTGATGAGAATTACAGTCCTAGAACATTTGGAGGGATCACACATTCCTCTATCAGGTATTGTACAGGGAGGTTTTCTTTCTGCTTCATAAAAGTCTTTGGGATGAGGAGTTAAGTGATTCTTGGCTTCTCATTTCTTTATTTCGTTATTGCTCTAGCCAGAGGCCATTAAAAACAGTTTAAGTATGATAATCATAGTGCCACAATGCTAATAATATAGTTTAATATCCCATGTCAGACATAGACACCGTTCCATTAATTAAGACAGAAGAAGAGCACATAAGCAGAGATAGCTCCTGCACAGCCTATAGCGCAGTTTATGGATCAAAAATATTTGTCTTGCCTTCAAGGGCAGCTCAAAACATTTTGACGCCTCAGGAAAAGGACAGGAACATTTCCCCACCATTCCCTGAATCCAGAAACAAACTGGAAGGGGAGCCAAATGTCAGGGTAACCCCAGCAAAGGTACAGAACAGGTACAAGAGGTGCAGCTGGCAGCTTACCCCTGCTGTCCCCCAGCATTTGCTACCAGAACCAGTTGTCCCATTCTTCTCACTGGCTCACTCTACACACCTTTTCTCAAATAGCCCAAAGCATCTTACCAAAACAGTTTGAACACAACTGCAAAACAGTTTAAATACACCTGCAATAATGAACATTGTGAAACAACCAAATAAACAACCAAAATGTTTGATTTAGGGTGGACTAAAATAATATTTAAAGAACATAGAATTATGGTAGGAAAACTCTAAAACCAATGCTCAGAAAGCAAAGGATCTTCCTATTTAGTAGTAGACCTTCCTACTGCTGTAGAAGGCCAACAGAGAATGGGCAAGAACAGCCAAAATTGCACAGAAAACTCTCACCTTTGACCCAAGGTCTCAGAGGTAAGAAGACCCACTTCTGATAATATTGGGCAAAATAACCTTACCTGGTACACAGCTCCTTCGAATATACCTGGTCTGCAGCTCCATGGTGGAAGACATACTTTATGAAAAAGAAGTTCCATATTCAAGCTCTAGGTACAAATGGGGAAGTTTGTTGTTTGTAGTCAAGAAGGCTGCCTTGCTCCATTAACTGTCTTATTCTCAGGCAACATGCCTGCTGATTTCAACACCACCACAGTAGCTATTCAGTGTCAATCAATGGTCCACCCTGGCCATTGGCCATGTTATCTGAAGCTTTTTGGAAGTTGAAGTTCAAAACCTTTCAACTTTTAAAAAGTCAGAGATTGAGAACCACTAATATACAAAATTATCTCAATTGATATTATGTAGCATTCAAATGTAGCTCAAAGTATGCTGCTCTCTCACCACCCAACAGAAAATACTTTGTATCACATGGAAGTGACAAGCCGGCATAAGAGCAGAACTGTCATCTTTGGTCACCAAAGACAATTGTCTTGATCATATGATGTCATGCTGGTCTGATAGCTCCCCAACAAACCTATAAATAGCCCCTGATCATACTGGGCTCAACATTCCTTAAAATTACTATAGATCATGCCTATCTTATCGCTAGTCTTACAGTTAGTGGGCTTGGGCTGAGTGATAGCAGTTTTGATAAGGAAGCCTCAATCTGTTCCAGGCTGAGCCACTTCTGAGACCTTTGATTGGATCTCAGACCCACAAATTGGATAACATTCAAGATCTACAAGGTTCCTCATCCCTGCAATACATGTTTCGCTCCACTTACTTAGGGGTGTGAGCCTCCTCCACTCGATTGCCAAACTGGAACTCATGGGATTTGCTGCGATGTAAAGCTGTGAAGCCTGGGAACAGGTGAATCAGTTTCCGAGTGGAAGGGGGTGGTGTGCCTGCTGGTTTCATCTTGTTCTTCCTCCGGACTGGTGGGGTGCCATGCGCAGTCATGGTTGTGACGATATTTGGGGTGCGTGGTGGAGTACGGACAACATGCCTCTGGCGCGGGGAGGGGGGCAAGGAGCGGTGGCCAGATCCCAATGGAGGGCTCCGCCCTGGAAAGCTTTCCACGGTCAGCCTCTCCACATGGGTAAACACCGCTCCGTGTGACACAGCCGGTTGGCAGTAATTCTGATTGCACTTTGCCTGACCTTTGGGGCTTGGAGCAAGATTATTATGGATCCACTGCACAGCCTCCATTTGGGACAGTGGGTGATTCTCCTTGCTAGCCTCAGTTGTCTTTGGCCACTGAATGGTCCAATCTTGCTTGGAAAGATTGCTTCCTGTTAGAAACAAAAAGAAGCAGATGCTGGAAACAAAGAAAGTTTGCCGAAGTGTCTATATGTCAGTAGGACAGGAGTGAGCAACTCTGGTGGTTCCAAGTGCCCCCCAACTTACAACTCTCCCTACCATGGCCAAGTCCTTATGAAATTTGGTAAAACGTGTAATCTTAAGACTTTGTTTTTAGTTTAAGAATACACTGTATGACTAGTTTGAAAAGAAAACCATACTTTCTGCAGGTTTCTATGCTCCCTGCACATCTTGTACTAGGCAAAGAATATTTTTCATGTCTAATTGGAAAGTTGGGGGGCACATAGGTTCTGTGGGCTATTTGCTTCCCACCTCTTGCACTAGGGATCAACTGACATATTTGTGTTTGTTTTTCAAGCATTTTTTGCAACACTTCTCAACTTACCAGCACACAGAAGCAATGGACAATGGATAAAAACATTTAAAGCATGAAATAAAAACTTTTAAGAACAGATTAAAATCAATCCTTAAACATGGTTTTCTTGGGTAGAAGCTCCACAATCAAAAGTGTATTCAACAGTGTTATGAGCTAGTGATGGAGCTGCAACAGGATCTCTGTAGGCAATCAGAATTTGGGCCCTTTCTCTTAACCAAATTCTTATATAGCCCACAGAAGTCTTACTGCATTATTATTGTTAGCAGCTTGGCAGCTGAATGGAAAACAGATGACAAATGGTATGCTAAGCTTTGAAATCTTGCTGAATTAGAAAGACGAACCTATAAAGCTAAAAAATTGCATGGAGACACCAAGACATACAACTTGACATAAATGTATTTTGCTTTTATCAGCTATAGTAATAATCACAGAGACATGTGGAAACATCCTCCCACAAATGGAAATATCTGGAATTATGCATTTGTATAGAATAAATTGCAATTCCAGATGACATTCTGGTGCTATGATGATGATGTTGATGATGTTGATGATGGAAATAATAATAATAATAATAATAATAATAATAATAATAATAATAAAATAATAATAATAATAATAATAATAATAATAATAATAATATAGTTTGTGAACATTGATAATTTTATCCTGTTGCTTGTTGCTCTTTTTTCTGTATTTTGTTTTCAAGGTTTAGGGCAAGCTTATATGAAAAGGTGGTCTTCCAGATACCTTGCCCCCAAGTTGTTTAGGGTTTTGTCAAAATTGGTATCATGAATTGCATGCAAAATGGAGGTTTTAGAGGGAGATGGCCGGGTTTTTTTTTTCTTATGGTTACATCCTTGCCTTGTGCATTATGTTGCTTCCTCATCTATAGACTGAAGGCTCATCTACATAGGCTGTATTGCCCTCACTGACTGAGAAGTCATTCCTGGTTGTCTTTGTGGTAATCTGGTTTAGCCCTGTGTTAAGGACACTCTGGAGTTTGGCCCAAATTCTAGAGGAACCCTCCAGTTTGTGCACAGCATGGACTGCATAACCGAGTCTGATGCTGACTAGTGCACTGTCCACACAGGTCACCACTATTCCCTTTTCCCTGTACTTATGATCAGATGTGTTGCCACCATTGCCCCTGCAGGATTGCTGCACAGGTCTTTGAGAACTCCTGGCCATAACAGGTTCCCCAGACCAACAACAGAAGATGTCAAAGCAATCAGGAAGGAGGAGGAGGGATTGGTCAATTCCACTGACATGTGGATAGAGTGTGTGGCCACCTCCGGTGCTTGTTCAGAACATTACTGTGTCTTTGCATTCCTACATTACTGATCTGAACTGACTGCAGATGAATTGGCCAGCATAAAAAATCCTGATATTCTCAGGATCGGCTTTGCTTCTGGCCATATGCCTCCTCCTTTTCCTCCAGGAGTTCAGGATACAATTCTCACAATCCCTTACCATTTGTCTTATTCACAGGAGTTCCAGGGAGCTGAAATGTATAACATCTAGAAAGGCAGAGGTCCTCCAAATCCTTGAGCTGAAGCCTGTTTAGTACCACTACAACTGCTACTTTGCATTCCCAGTCTAGATCTAGGTCCCTTCATCTGTCACCTTCTTTTGTAAAGTCATAGCAATAAGCCATTATTTTACAGAAAATGTATGGCCACTGGGCACCTCTGTATCCATCAAACATTTTCATAAGAACAGAAAAAGATGGATCAGTCCAAAGGCCAATCTAACCTAGCATCCTGACTCCTCCACTGGCCAGCCAAATGCCCTTGGGAAGCCCACTAGCAGGGCTCATGCAATAACCCCCTCCAACTTCTACCCCTATCAACTGACATATGCCACCTCTGGTCCTGAAATATCATGACTAAGGACATGAGAGAAGCCTCCCACAAGGATGATAAAACTTCAAACATCTGGGAGTCCCCTGGGCATCATCCTTGCAGATGGCCAATGCTCACACACCAGAAGCGACTTGCCGTTTCTCAAGTCGCTCTTGACACACACACACACACACAAAATGACCAGGTGCCCTTCCACGCATCCCTATATCCCAGAATATCAAGGCAGAAAAACCCACAATATCTGCTTTGAACTGGGTTATCTGACTTCACACTCAGATAATGTGGGATTTTCTGCCTTGATATTCTGGGATATAGGGCTGTGTGGAAGGGCCCTTAGAGTCATTGATAGCATTATCCTCCTGCACCAATCTGTCTAATACTGCATCACAGTTCTCCTAAACAACATCCAGAGATTCCAAACCAGGATCTATTCTCCTTTCAAGTCCTTCACAGCTCTGAGTTACTCCATCCCCTTTGGAACTGTGCCCTGTTAGTACTGTTTCTCTCTTTGCATCTAAGAGTTTCCCCCTCTTCAATCACTAATAACAAAGGCAAGGACTCTACTAGTATCTTAGCCAGCATCCTCCACAATATCCCAGACCTAGCAGCATTCCCGAACATTATTTCATGGGTGGAAAGGTAAGGCCCCTAGTACAAAGAAAAATAAATAAATGCTGGTTATTATTAATTTTTTGTTAAACATTATTGCTTTTCTTTTTCCAAAGAGGGGAATAGAATAGAAGAGAAAAAGTTCAGAAAGTTTCTCAGGGGGGAAAAATCTGGAAAATCATTATCCTCTGTTCACCCTTTCTCCCTCTTTCCATCTCGCCTCCGCTTTCTTTGAATGCACCCCCACATAGACACAATCACTGCCACTCTGTGTCTGGTCAGGAAAGTAACATGGGGAGTTTCACTTCATTACCAAAAGTGCTATTTGATGCAGTTAACAGAACTCTCTCCACACACAGTGGATCCAAGCTCTTCACTGCTGCTGCTTTTGATCTGACTTCTCTAACAACTCATGAATGTTAAAAAAAGAAGAAAAGGTAATATTTGCATTCTATAAAGAAGTCAGTAACTATCCCAACTCCTCCTTTTTATCCCATTTTGGGTTATTAATTGATAGCCTTGTTATCTCAGCATCCTTTTTAAGGAAATCAATTTGTTTCCACCTTTTGAGAAGGATGGGGTAAGGAAAGAGGATGAGCAATAGAACAGAAAGGGAAGAAGCTGATTTAATTTTTTTTAAAGTGTGGGAGGAAATGTCTTCCAAATGGTTTCCTCTAAAACTGATGAAAGAAGGTGAGAAACAACAAGAGGAAAAATGATGGTGCCATTAGGACAGAACATGGGGGTAAAAGTTTTGGGGTAAAAAGGGAATCCACACAACCAAAGGGGAATGGAGGAGGGCAGAAATGCGGCAATGTTAATTTACCACACTTGGGGATTTGATGGGAATGGATTTAGGACAGAAATCAAGATCTGTTGGTAGATGTCTGGTAGATTTGCAGCTAATTAGGAAAAATGTTTGCTTTCTGAATGTTCAACAACAGGAGAAAAAAGAAACACGTGCCTACTCCAGGCCAACCATAATTTGTACTGCTCAGAAGAACACTCAGGACAGCTAGGAATGGGGTTGTGTTGAAGGGCTGAGAGCTCCATTTGCTTCTGATGCTGGAAACCTATTATTGGGATCAGGATTCTTTACTCCTAAGAGTATGGCTTTTATGCCAGTATCTGTTTGGGAGATCTCAGGACTCTCATTAAAAGCCCAGATTGACTCTAGTAACTTGAAGTCTCCTGGTTTCAGAGGCTACCAATTCTAACTGCACATATCCCAGACCACAGTTTACTGTAAGTCTATATTCATTGGTCCTTGCAAAAAACAACAACAACAAAAACATTGTGTCTAAACCACTTTCCCTGACATCAGAGCATAGTAAAACAATTTCTACACAGCCAAAATAAGTCTCTGCAGTCAAAGTAGTGCAGACACATTGCCAGAAAACCTCTAGGAGAAAGCGGCTTGCAGTGAAGTAGCAGCCCTAAGGCACCCTCAGCCCAGCCAGCTGTGTGAAAGGCCAAAGAGCTCCCAGCACTACATTGGAGCAGATCTGGAGACATTTAAATTAAAGTTTTCCAGTAAGTGTAGACACGTCCCATAAGAATTATATTTGACGCTACTCTCAAAGGTACATTTAGTATAAGGAGGTGAAGATAGTTGTTCTTCGTGGCACCTAAAGTTTTGCAAGTTTACCAATAAACTACAAAAAGCAACCAAAGGAAGGAGGAGGAGAACTGTGATATAATAATCTGAAGAACAAAGAGAAACAGTCAGGTACAGGTCCACAGTAAATGTTTCTCCCAGGAAAATGTCATCCAGCTCTGAAAGTGTAATTACCCCTGTTCCATTTTACTAATTAATGATGATGGATGGGTTACTAAACATAGGAGCGGAGTGGAATGTGTCCAGACAAACAAGCAGGAAGGGATCTCTAAACTAACAGCCTAATCTGGGGCTATTAAGCCCCTCGGTCCAGGCTACAAACTGTTCTCTCCACCCACCTATCTGGTATTTATTTTGATGGCTGTGTCATTAGATGATTGATGAGCACCCTCATAAAAATAACTTGATGCTTATCCTGATGCGTCATGCCTAAAAATATCCAGGTAGAGTTTGGGGAGTCCATTTTAAAACTGACATAAGCTCACACAAAAGCAGGTATAATGCCTT